ATCAATTACATGTTGGGTATTGTTCTACTCATCCAATCAGAGTGGGCAGGTAACATTAGACCCCGCCTCCAGCAGCATCACTGGTGAATAAGACACATTTGGATTTAGAAGAGACTGACTCTGCCATAATGATGTAATATATTGTTGCATAAAGGACTAGTCTAAACTGCTTGTAATCTTACTTTAAAGCATATTTAAAAGAAAATACTGACTCAACTCAAGCAGAAAAGTTAACATGGTGCAAATAAATGTATTTGTTAAACTGTTGCTTTAAATGAGCGTTGGTGAAGCTAGCACACACAAACAACTGGACTCAACAAACACAGCAGCATTTCATTACGAAGCTTTTATTCATTTCTATTTAGAGTGGAATGAAAGGCGTGTGTGAGAAAGTACATGTAGATTCAATCTACTGTTAGCGGGTTGGTCATAAACAGACATTAACAGACAGAGGACTAGCACAGAGGACTCAAAGAGGTTTTAGCCACTTCAGATGCTGCAGGCCTGTAGCTTCTTGTCAGCCAGCTTGAGAGACACCCAGGTGTTGAGCATTGAGGCCCTCAGTTTGCACCACACCACGTGATTGGTCAGGCCGAAGATCTGCGCCGCAAACTGAGCAGCGCTCTCGGGAGAGAGGATTGTGGAGCAGCCGAGTCCTGTGGGGGTGAAGGCAGGATGTAACAATGATGGATAAACTTACACTGGACTAACTCTACAACCACACGACTATATATTAGTTGAAACGCATCATTGACTACATTTACACTACAAGTTTTGTAGTGCCTATAAAATAAGTTTCGCAAAGCAGCTGGGCCCGTTCTAGTATGAAAACTCTGGGTTTGTATTGTAGTCTGAATGGACAAAAATAGATGAATGGTTCTCAGTCAGTACTTGACAACACGTAGCTGTCATGGTCCATTCAAGAAAAGAAATGCCTCGATTTGCTCTGAGTATTATAATTTCTCATTTGTAGTTGCTGCAACTAACCAACTGCAGAGATGATTATCTGCTTCCTGTTTACACCGGCACACACATGCCCAGTGTACATCAATAGTCACATGATGTACGGTTCTAGGTGTGAGTGTATGGATGGAGATTACTACTGATGTGGTGCTAAAATGCTTGTGTGGACAGAGATTGTTTTAGTTTTTAAATTAAAATGTTTTAGTGTGAGTTTAGCCTGATATTCCAGCTCAGATAACAGTTAGGAGAAATAATTACCACTTGGCATACGGAGGGATGACCAGACGTCCTGTGCGCCCCAATCAGGAGTGAGAGGGGGGCAGTTGATGACAGGATAAGCCGTGTTTCCTGACATCACTGGACCGAGGCCGTTACTTCTGCCGGCCACAGCCACAAACACAGTAGGTACACCGTCACCTGGGGAACAACCGATATTTACGACATGATAGCCATTCTCCACTTTACTTTGTGAAAGGAAACCCCTCATGTTAAAGATGAAAAAGACCTTCATATTCTGCTTTGATGCGGAGTGTCTCATCTGGTCCTTTGTGTGCCGAGGTGACTCTGAGGATGCAGATGATCCCATAGGAGGAACAGGCCTTCTTGATTTTTTCACAGTGGGCTAAGTCCGAGGTGGAGCCCATCAGAACCACCACCCTGCCACTGGCCTGGGGCTCCAGCAGCAGCTAAGGACACAACACATGAGCACTTATTAGCTCCATGCGAGCCCCGGTTAATTTGTCCACTTAAAAATATATGTTACAAATCTTTTTTTAAATGTCTACACATGACTAAACCTATGCATTATATTTTGTTGCTCTATGTACTTCCATTATCAAAAATATTTCTAACAATGTTCAAACTCCCAAATTCCCAATTTTATTCAAGGTAACAGGATGTTTCATTTTGGTCGCCTTTCAATTGTGTCCAAGGCAAACAGTGTATGAGAAAGGAAAAACACACTGCTGGCCAGTTAGTCAGTCAACTGTTTGTCCTTCCACTGTTTGTTTTGGTCACTCATAATGGACCCTGATTACTCAATGCTGTTTGCTGTGCGTTCTGTCACCAATGCTCTCCTACTAAAACCCAAATATACAGGGGAATCAGGCAACCCAAGAAGATTATGGGACAAGAATTGGTGGTGAAAACAACTCCCATGATCCTTCGCTGCTTCACAATATAATTTAACTAGGTCTTGTTGTTATTGTTTTGATTGAGAGACCCCTAGCGGCCAAAATTACATATTTCACATTTAAAGTCAGACTGTAGCTTTAGCTGAACAGTGCCCATATGTGAAATATACTGGATAATGACAAAATGCTAAATTATTAATGCAAGTTGTACAAGTGAAGAAAACCTGACTCACTTAAGACTAAATAAGCCAGTGGTCATACCAGAGCCAACAACAGACCCATTTGATTTTTCATGGCTCAAGTATGTGTTTAACTTTCAAAATGTATTGTTGGACTTCAAGGTCTGTTTCTAGAAGTGTTTTTCATTTTAAAAATAAATGATGCATGTAAAGCAACCAACCATTCGTAAGGAGGGACAATCAACTCTATTTAAAGAACTGAAGTAACAAAGTGATCAAACTAAACAAAGCTCAGATAACAGTTTTTTGTCGAACAGTGTCAGTGACACAGTTGATTAAAAGGTAAACAAAAGCAGGTCACGATAACGATTAGGTTAGTAAACCATGTTCAGTGTACCTTGACCCTTTCAGAGACCCACTCAAAGTTCCTCTTCACCATCTGCATGGCCTCAGGGGTCACTTCCTTAAGGTCTCGATAAACCTAGAAGGAGGAGAATCACAAGGAATGTCATTTGATGCCTTATCTTGATCCATTCTTCAAAGTATACACACACACACACACATGCACGCACACGCCCTGACCTGCTTATCTTTTTGCTGGCTGCGGTCTCCGGCCGGCCACAGCCTCCAGGAATCATTGTCGATCACATCAGCCAGGACAACCTCTTGAGTTTTCACATTCACACCGAACTCGATCTATAAAAGGCAACAAAGATCATTGTCATTACATGTGCAGCAGCCTCAGCAGTAATGTGGTCACACTACATTATCCAGCAGAGGGCAGTCCTGCTCTGCGTACCTTCATATCCACCAGTGTGCAGTTCTGAGTGGCCCAGGCTTTCTCCAGAATCTCAAAGATGGCCACCGTACTGCGGTTCATGATGTCCACCTCACACTGACCGATGGTGAGCCCAGCCAGACAGAACTTGGCCTCCAGCAGCTGCTCCTCCGACCACTGAGGGTCATTGTTGGCATCGTCCTGCATCATACAGCAGATACTGTTGGATGTGATTTGACATTTGGCCACTTACCGACTGAAAACACTTGGCAGACAGCCAGGGTCAAAGGTGAGACCCACCTTAAAGAACATTTCCATCTTCAGCGGAGAGAAGCGGTAGCCTTCTTTGACTCCTGGATTCCTCTTGAGGAAGGATCCGGTCGCAACTCTCCGACACACCCACTCGATGGGAATCATTTCACAGTGTGCAGCAATGAACGCTGTGTCTGAGTGCTGCTTAATGAAGGCCGTCTTGATGCCTGCAGAATGGGAAAGATATAACTATTTATCACATGACATTCCCCAAAATCCAAACCTCTTGATTGTGTATGTGCAAATTGTGACACATCTGCAAGCAAATGTTATAAATTCTCTCCTTCTGTATCAATGTGTTGTACAGATAAATCTTCTAAACAGACACCAGCAGTTTACAAGACTTTCAACTTTTAGCTTCCACCCCAGATTTAAGGTTAAGTGAGGCGGGATGTGGTTGGTCATGTTCTGGAGAATTATACGCCTCAGTGTTTCAAGTCACAAGAAAGCCATTACCAGAGCTAGTCTGACACACACACACCACACTCACGAGTCACATATGGGACATACTTACCCAATTATGTCTAAATTAAAACAAGGTGGAGTTTTATTTGTGGAATCTGAACTTTCTGGAGCCAAACACTTAACATAAAGGCACAACGCCTCCACACGTGTTTTTTAAATATGGCAAATAGGTCAGGATACAATCATGTGTTCTCTGTGGAGCTAATGCAGGTAATTGACAGAGAACTGCCAACTACTTCAATAATCAATCATTTAAGCCATGTGAAATTTGCTTATTATCAGACTGTACACTGGAGCTTTGAGGGAATGTGTATTTTTAAAGTATTTTCTTTCATCTTATGGACAGAAAAAAAAGAGTATTGCAATAAAAGAACAACATGTATTTACAAAGACACTTGGTTAAGTTCTGTTTGCCAAGAAAGCCTAAATAGGCCAAAGGTTTTTTCTCTCTCTCTACAGTCACCTCCCTGACTTTAGCAAACACTTCTGGGTGATGAACTGGTGATGAGCCCAGAAACAAACACAGTGGCATTCATTTATTTAAAAAAACAGTGTGAGGGAGTGCTATGTATCTGTGAAGATTCTCAGTCAACCAAGGTCATGGTATCTTCAGAAGTTTACAAGTGTAACAAGCAAGTCCTGTTGTCTAGAACTTATTCAACTTCTGAAGACCTGAATTCTACAGCAGGTTTAACCCACTCTTAATTAGGGCTGGGCAATATGGCCAAAAGTGATAAATATTAAGTGCAATAAACGTTACATTATTATTATTTGTAGTTTCAACACCGAATTTGCTCCAATTAGAGAAGGCTGTGTGGAAATTAACATTGGCAGAATATGTCAAACATTTGATTAAAACAGATCTGAGGTCGATGATTACTGTTTGTCCTCCTGTCTGTGCACAATAGATTACATGCAATATAATAATAACACAACTGATATGCTGTTTTCTTTTATGTTTTGCTACTGATGAAACTTATATTATGATATTTATTGATGTGGTTTTAATTGATATGGTTTGATAAGTCCCCCTCTCAACGATATCAAATGTTTCTCAACATGTGCCAAAGTTGCCTCAGGGTGAGTGACACTGTTCCAGCCCTCACATTCCCTTGGCAGCGTGGCTGTTTCTCAATGGTTTCACTTGATGGTGCGTTTTACCGGATTCCTGAAGCAGCTTGAACACGCAGCTCGTGGTTTTGTTGGCGATGGCAGCCTTGCCCTCCATCTGGTCTTTCCTCACCGCGTTCCCGGCGGTGATCTGGTCCTTGGACTGGACCAGGACCAGTCCGGGCTGCTCCAGCACCTCGAAGATCTGCTTGGTTTTACCCTCATTCAGCTTCTGACCGGTCTTCAGCTCTGAAAACACACACACAGATTAAACCGCTGCACATTTCACCCTCAGCTGCGCAGCGTGCACTCAGCGCGGGGCAGTACCTGCAGTGGAGGCCATGGCGGTGCTCGGGATCAGCCTGCAGCTCTGAGAGAAAACACACACAAGTGGCGCACAACTTTAGAAAGTGTGTGAAGACGAGAAGGCGCAGATTCGGGAAGAGGAGTTGGTCTTACGTGCTCTGACAGCCAATAGCACCCCTCAACCGATTCAGACAGCCAATCAGAGCAGCGCATCCCTCACCACGTGACGAGGGGAACACGCTCCATCCTCTATGAACCAGAGGAAGAACTTTTTTTAAAGGACTTACTCACTAAACTTTTCCCTCCCACAACAAAGCTGATTTAAGAATAAGTTAATCAGCAGAAAATAGTCACCCTCGTGACGGAATCGATTAGTTAGTTCTTTCAATCATCGATTGATCGATCGATTTCGCGTGATTCGTCTGGTTGAAATGTTTGATAAGTTTAGGCGGTTCTGAGATGGCGGCGTCTCTTGCCTGTTAAACTTTCGGGTTATTTGTTGGATCGGGGTTTTGTATCGCGGGACTGCGTCAGTTTCTCAGGTCGAGTTTGTAACGAGCCACGTTGCGGCGTCCATCGGCTGCACGTGCTCGGTCCAATACAGTCGGCGCGCACGAGCACGCACGCACGCGCAGGGGAGAAGTTCTCCAGGCAACGCAGCAGCACGAGAGGAGAGAGACGGTCGTCCGTTAACGGAGAGAGAACCGGGACCAGGCAGAAGGACCAGACACCGGGATGGAGTTCGAGGAGTCCGGTATCGGGGAGGAGTGCGGGGTGTTCGGGTGCGTGGCCGCCGGAGAGTGGCCCACTCAGCTGGAGGTGGCTCAGGTCCTCTCTCTGGGACTGGTGGCGTTACAGCACAGGTAAGTCACGCAGCGTGTACGTTTCTACTGTACCTGGCTTTTGTGAATACAACTGTTACGAGTTTTATCTAAGACATCAGAAGAGGAGAATGTTAAATGTTGACACTGAAGGAAAACACAGAGTCAAGATCCTAAAGATGCCTGACTGTGCAACATGTGACTCCACTTTGTTTTTTACAGTCAGAAAAATGTGACTGAAAAAGTTACTATAGTAACCATTATTATGAACTCATGTTTTTTTCTGTAATGAAATATTAAAAAGTAGAAATGATGTAGTTTAACTCCACATGATGTGTTTGATCACTAGTTCAACACTCAAAGATATTTAGTTTCAGTTCACTATCACTAATACATTTCTGTTCATCAGCAAAACGATTAACCGACCTGTCCTTACAGCACTCAGTCATTATCTGTATATACATGGTTTCTTTCAGGTCAGCACTCAGCAGTGTCATGTATTTTAAAGATTCTTATTTCAAAGTTTATTTTCCTGTTTAGATTTTCTTTTCTGACCAATGTTTGGTCTACAAATGATAAAATAATTCACATGATTAATCTTTATGAGATTATCATTTTCTTATGTTAGTGGCAGCTGTGATTCTTACAGGCGTGTTTTAAGATTATCTCCATTGCACCTTAGTTGCGTAACGTCTTGTATTTTTTGTCACATCGGGTAGGTAGCTGTTACCTGTCTCTCTGGGGATGGATGGGGGGAGGCCATTGAGCGCACAGAGTTTATCTTTATTATTGGGATGTGATCCTGCTCTTCTTTACACTGGGCCTCTGAGTTATCAGCACAGTCAGAGCCAGTGTCCAGTCTTTTCACTGGAGTCTGGAGTTTGGGGTCTGAGAAGAAAAACAAAGGCTTTTATTTGTAAAAAGTTTTGCCATTAAAACGTTTAGAAGTTTTTTTCTTTTGGTCTGAGAGCAGACTATCACACGTTGTGCTTTTTGTTAGCAGTTACAAGCGTGTCCTCATCCGTAATTTTATTATGAGGCTCCACGGCAAATCATGGGACTGACTGGGGAAATTGCAAAAGCCTCCAGTCAATTGTGGACATCATGTGACGTGCAAAGTGATTAGAGAATAGGGCACATTTCTAACCTTGATCCACAGCTTTCCTCTTCAGTCCTCTGTTTGCTGAATAGGTATCTTCTCTCTCTACCCTTTTTTCAACAGAGTCTGCCAACAACATACAATATCAAACAGTTTTAAGACAAAGAGCCATCCTCTAAACATACATTAAATGTTTTAACATGCAATTTCAATGTAGTTGAATAGACAGGCCT